ATTACATTTTATTAAACATTAAAAGGCAGTCGGAACATTCAGGGCTTCGCCCTGATACGAGCAGTCTTGTATATTTTCTGGGCTCAACTTAAAATTAAACAATACGAAACAGTCTAAGAATTGAAAAAAAAATGGAAATATCAAAACAGTAAAGTTTCAAAATAAAAATCGACAATTGTTAGACGGAAAAGCTATGAGATTTCGTTTGGTTGTAAATGTAGTAACTTTTACGATGAATGGAATCTAATTTGCAAACAATTTATTGTTCCGACTTTCGATACAAAAGTAACGGAATATTTGTGCTCGGGGTGGGTTTTTTTTCTTCAGACAAATTTCGACTTTTTATTTAGCCATTTTTGACGGAATTTTTTCATATCATTCGAAAGGTATTGTTGTCCTGAGCTCAAATTTGAAAAGATATTTCACCTGTGATCATTTTTCGTAAAGTTACGGGGGTTTAAAGATTGCCATTTTGGCCAATTTGGGACAATTAACGCGCGATATATTTCGCGCTATTAACGCGTAAGCGGAGAGTTAATCCGTCTTAGAAATCGTTCCAAATTGATTTAACGAAGCTTATTAGCCATAATTGATTTGTTACAAGGAGCGAAATCTATCCTTTTGTACTTTATATGGCGTGTGGGGGTATGATTTTTAATAAAAAAAATTTCACATTTTAGAATAAAAAAAAAGACTTTTGTTTTATTTTATAGAATTTTTTAATGTTATTACTGCTCCATAAACCTTAAAAGGCAGTCGGAACATTCAGGGCGTTGCCCTGATACGAGCAGTCTTGTTATTATTATTTTTAAGACGGAAAAGCTTATTTTGTGTCACTGACAATCAAGACGACTGGCCCAAAAGAGCTTCATTCAGTCGTTGCCGCTAATATAGAACAATTTTTAATGGCAAAAATGTATCCTTCGAACAATTCTATTCATAAAAAAATTGATCACGATATTTGTTTTTATGCCAAAAACGTACGATTGAACAAAATCATATAAGACAAAATTCGATCATACGGTACTAACGCTACAACTCGCAGCTAAGAAAAAGAGAGCTCGCAAAAAACTCGCAACTTCTTAAGAAAAGACAACTCGTATAAAATTGCTGTGAAATAAAGCTGTAATTTCCTTTAATATAAAGGTCAAACATAAAAGGTAAAAAATCAAAGCCTTTGAGGCGTCAAAACTTTCTTGATACAAAGTGATTTTACCGGATCAAAGTTTAAAAAAGCTTCCAGCAGCAACATTACTTCAATGTTTTCATACTTTTTAAGAGTTTCTGATATCCGTTGATGCAATTGTTCAAATTCAAGACATTTAAAAAGCTTTTCTCCGGATATGAACCAAATCAGGTAATTTGCGAATAAAAAATTTGTTCCTTACTGATTTTCTGAAAGAGTTTTGAAACACTAGGGTGAGGATAACCCATTCCTTTCTGAAAAACGTTATGCCATCCTTCGAATGCATTTTTTTTGATTCATCGCATTGCTAAACTGATTGCATATAGTTGATTTAAAATCTGATCGTTCGTTTACTCTTTGCATGGACCTAAAAAATTTTTAAGTCCTAAAAAAATACTTTTTGCCTCCCACAGACATTGCAAACGGGTAGGAATATTTTTGAAACTATTTTTCAAACCTTGTTTTTACGTACAACCCCCCACGATTTTTAACTATGAACTCAATTGCGAATCATTCGTCAATTAGGGCAATCGAGATATTTGACTCAAATTTCGGTTTTAAGCAAACAAAAAGACTATCTCACTAATTGTTTTGAACTAAATTTTACATTGGAGGACATTCAGCTAGTATTGAGGGAAGGATTACGGGCCTTAGTTTAGGGGATAATTACAGGACTATCTTATAATTATCGCTTAACTAAATTTTTGTATTTACAAATTTATTGAAGGTTGTGGCCTTTTGCTAGTTATTATAATTGCTAACTTAAACGAGCTGTCTTTTCCGCGATTTATTTTTTGTTGCCTTTGTTGTGTTGCTCATCATACAAAAACTTAATTTTCATGTCGTATCCTTCAAACAACTTTTCACGAAAAGATTTTGATCATGCAGCTACGAGCTTAGCAAATAATGGCATTGAAACAGTTTGAAATGGCTTAATTATGATAAACATTCGATAACGTATAAAAGCGTTTTAGATTATTGTTCCGACTTTCGATACGAAAGTAACGGAATATTTGTGCTCGGGGTGGGTTTTTTTTCTTCCGACAAATTTCGACTTTTCAACTAGCCATTTTTGACAAAATTATTTTTTTATTATTCAAAAGGTACTGTTGTGCTGAGCCTGAAATTAAAAAGATATTTTGGCTGTGATCATTTTTTGTAAAGTTACGGGGGTTTAAAGATTACCATTTCCGGGCAATTTGGGACAATTAACGCGCGATATATTGTGCGCTTTTAACGCGTAAGCGGAGAGTTAATCCGTCTTAGAAATCGTTCCAAATTGGTTTAACGAAGCTTATTTGTCATAGTTGATTTGTTAAAAGTAGCGAAATCTATCCTTTTGCACTTTATATGGCGTGTGGGGGGATGATTTTTAATAAAAAAAATTTCACATTTTAGAATGAAAAAAAAGTCTTTTGTTTTATTTTATTGAATTTTTTAATGTTATTACTGCTCCATAAACCTTAAAAGGCAGTCGGAACATTCAGGGCGTTGCCCTGATACGAGCAGTCTTGTTATTATTATTATTAAGACGGAAAAGCTTATTTTGTGTCACTGACAATCAAGACGACTGGCCCAAAAGAGCTTCATTCAGTCGTTGCCGCTAATATAGAACAATTTTTAATGGCAAAAATGTATCCTTCGAACAATTCTATTCATAAAAAAATTGATCACGATAATTGTTTTTATGCCAAAAACGTACGATTGAACAAAATCATGTAAGACAAAATTCGATCATACGGTACTAACGCTACAACTCGCAGCTAAGAAAAAGAGAGCTCGCAAAAAATTGAAGTTAGAAAAAATCCATTTTGTTTTATTACTTTTAATTTTTTAATGTTATTACTGCTCCATAAACCTTAATAGGCAGTCGGAACGTTCAGGGCTTTGCCCTGATACGAGCAGTCTTGTTCTATTTTGCGTCAAAAAACCCTAGCTCATAGTTTAAAAAAACAATACAGTGCCGACAGTGAGCTTCAAACATAAAATAAACAAGACTGCTCGTAACAGGGCAAAGCCCTGAATATTCCGACTGCCTTTTAAGGTTTATGGAGCAGAATAACATTTAAAAATTTAATGAAACAAAACAAAATGAAAAAAAAAATTCTTCCACCCACACGCCATATAAAGTACAAAAGGATAAATTTCGCGATAAAATTCGCTCCTTGTAACAAATCAATTATGGCAATTAAGCTTCTTTCAACCAATTTGGAACAATTTCTAGATGGATTAAATCTTCGCTTACGCGTTAATAGCGCGAAATATATCGCGCGTTAATTGTCCCAAATTGGCCAAAATAGCAATTTTTAAACCCCTGTAACTTTACGAAAAATGATCACAGTTAAAACATCTTTTCAAATTTGAGCTCAAGACAATGATACCTTTCGAATGATAAAAAAAATTCCGTCAAAAATGGCTAGTTAAAAAGTCGAAATTTGTCTGAAGAAAAAAAAGCCCACCTCGAGCACAAATATTCCGTTACTTTCGTATCGAAAGTCGGAACAATAATGTTCTGGTTGAACCGTGTTGTCAAAATGCGAGCATAATAACGCAAATTACATTATTCGTTTCTTCACAGCCGTCAATCTTTGACATTTTTTGATGAAAGAAACATTGGAAAGTGTAACTCTAACTCCACTTGGTAAATGAAAAGAAGCTAGCGTCAATAGAAAACGAAAATCTAACAAGAAAGAAAAAACTATTAAAAAAACTTCTTCTTGAAGAACAAAACCAAAATTATATGAGCCCCAAAATTTCTTAGGTCACTTCAACACTGAAGAGTTTTTCAATAAATATATTCAATTTAAAATGATTTTACTGCTAGCCTTTAAAAAACAACGTTTGCAAATACCACTATCGAGCCTGCGCACATGATGATAATCTCTCTCTTATAAGATTCTTTTTGGAACCTTACACTTCCGAGGCATTTATTCTGACAATTGAAAGTGGGGAGAACTTTGTCTTCGGGTGAAATTTGGTTTTCCACACAAAATTAGGGGTCAAAATTAATAATCGCAATGTTTCGAGTGATATTTCAGATTGAAGATTTTTCAATTGTGATCCAAGCGGCATTTAAAAATTTTCAAAAAGTTTTCCAGTATTTACAAAAACCAGTTTGAATTTTTTTGCTTTTCAGTCTAATTTCGAGCCATTAAAGCGAGCGAGTCTTGAAGAAGAAAATTTTTCTTTTAGGTAGTAAAAAAAAACTTTTCCATGAAAACTAGTTTTGAAAGCTTCAGTTAATGAAAAAAACTGTCAGTCATAAAATACGCTTCAGGTTGCTAAAGAAGCAATAACTGAAGCTTTCAAAACTAGTTTTCATGGAAAAGTTTTTTTTACTACCTAAAAGAAAAATTTTCTTCTTCAAGACTCTGAAGCAATAACTGAAGCTTTCAAAACTAGTTTTCATGGAAAAGTTTTTTTTACTACCTAAAAGAAAAATTTTCTTCTTCAAGACTCGCTCGCTTTAATCGCTCGAAATTAGACTGAAAAGCAAAAAAATTCAAACTGGTTTTTGTAAATACTGGAAAACTTTTTGAAAATTTTTAAATGCCGCTTGGATCACAATTGAAAACAGTTTAATGAAAAATTAAAAAATTTTCTGCAAAAATTTAGAAATTTTAGAAAATTTATTCAATTGCGAAGACATCTTTTGTCGAATTTGTCTACCACACTTAACGTTTACTTAGCACACGTTCCTATAGTTCACTCCTCATACAAGGAATAAAAACGACTCTCATTAAAAAAAAAGAAAACTTTATGTGGTCGGAACATTCTGTGCGTCAGCAACCGGCTTTATTTATTTCAACTTTAGACTCACAAAGCAACGTTAGTGGCGAAGGCGACAGCCAATCGACAGAAGAACTGACGACGGGTGGTGTGCATATAGACGAGAAAAACAACAACGTGGACCATTTAGGATTCTACTTACAAGGCGCCTACACTACACACCACAAAGTGGCATATGGTGGATACAACTACTCCACTCTGAAGACTGTATTCCTGCTGCAGAGGAAGTATTCAGCCTACCTCATGCAGGTAATTACACAATCATTATGCTAATTATTATGCAATCAATATGCTAATTATTATTATGTTAATTATTCTGCAATCATTATGCAATTATTATGAATAAGAAGCTAAAGTTGAGATATATATTTTGACCTACGAGATTAAGTACCGACGGGTGAGGTCAACGGACCTCCAAAGCCAGTGAATTTTGTATTTTGGGGGTCTAATATTTATTGAGGGCTATAATGAGAAAGGCTCCTACTTCACATTCGATTTCATTTAGGGCCCCTTATCTTTACAATTAATAGACAAGAGGAGAGATGGTAACTAAATTTGCATTAGAATAATAACCGTACAATCCGAAGACTTTTCATATATGTGCATATGACTATAACTATGGTCACGGGCTAATTTTTTTTTCAAAATTGGTCAAATAATTGTGCAGAAACAGGGCAACAAAACGGAATTAAGTGCCTTCTGCGCATTTTTTTGCTACTCATTTTCATTAACTGGTAAGAACTTAACATTTGCATCATTAGCGAAAACTGAGGCCCCCTAAAACCGATTTTTCTGATAAGTTGAAATTAAAGTTCAACTCCAAATTAGTAAGCCTTTTCTTGTAACTGCAATCAATCTGTCTTTTTCTGAGAAGCGCGGTTTGCAGTTGTTACGTCTGCTTCACGTGCAATGGCTGAGTGTTTTTCTAAAGGCAATCAAAAATGAATAAATCTGCAAGTAGTTCAAATAATATTTTTCCCTTAAGGCCCAAGAGACTCGAATATGCCATCAATTTTATGTGTAATTTTTATTACGAGAAGAAATATTGGGCCACAAAAGGCTACACAGCCGTACGCTAGTATTTTATGACTGACAGTTTTTTTCACTCCGCTGGGAAGACTTTAAGATTTGATTCAAAAGTACGGTACAAAAAATTAAGCTGGCATGGATACATTTTAGAGAAAAGCACTTATAAAATCAAATTTTGAGCAAAAAATTGACTTTGTTCCACAGTGCGCTCACCCATTGACAAAAAGGGCTATTTAAAGGGACTAAAAGATGCAGTAAATATCGGGAAAACATTTAGACAAATGAAATTACCAAATAGAACATTTTTACAGAGCTTAAAACCTTTTATTTCGGGGAAAGTGTTGACAAATTAAAGCGCAAACACATGCAACTTTGATTCTAGATCTACCGAAGCCGTGAACATTTTGATGTTCTTAATTGATTGCACATTTTGCCTGTTGAAATTAAGCCACATGTTCTATTAAGTACACCCGTAACCTGGTGAACAGAAAGAGACAACCTACCGTACAAAAAAACTATCCCCTTCATCACCGGCCGACGAATCATTATGTAATCCATTCAGTCTTTCAAATTCAGAGCTTATCACGTTAATTGATTTTTCAATACATTGGTATCAATGAGTTTCGGAGCGTATACATTGAGTTAACTGATTCCAAACGAACGATTCATAGCTTTCCTCAAAAACATTTAAAATATTATCGGCAAAAGTACGTTTTGACACAGTTGAAGCGGAGTTTCTCAGCACTTTGCTGTACAGAAATAACACAGAGCAACATTTGAATGTCAAATTAGCAGCGGAACATAACTTACGAAGCTGAAATAATACCGACGATTTTTAAGAGGACACAATTTGAGCCAAAAAAAAATGATTTCGTAAAAGTCCCCTCTGAAACTGCAATGAACAAAACTTGCAACTAAATGAAAATTGCTTAGAGCACAACTAAAACTCGTGATGTAACAACTGAGCCGACAAAAGTTGAACAGACAAACAGTTCAACTTTTATCGGAAAACAATTTTAATTTTATACATTCTGAAAAAACAAGGTCCGACCGAGATTCGAACCCTAAACCGTAGCGTGCAAAGGGGACAAAATTACCTCTAGGCCAACAAAGAACAAACCTGGAAGTTGTTAAGATTGAATAATAAAGCAAGTAAGATAAGTTGCCTATGTGGAAAAAATCTAGTTGCCCAATACAGTAAGCTACTGACGAAGTAAACAGCTAGTCAAAACAAACAAAAAATAAGAAGCGATAGCAACATAAATGTCAAATAATTCAAACCTCCTAAAAATCAAAAATCGTATCACAACGGAACGGTTAAAACTGCAAAAGTATCCATACATTTTATAAACTGTAAGGACAACGATTCAACAGAATGAACAAAATAGTTTTAAATTGACAAAAAACTATAGTGTGACAAACCGAAACAAACCTAATTTAGTTGTACTCATCTGACTTTCGAAAAAAAAATGTTTTAATCATCTTACCCCAGCTCGCATGTCTAAATCGTCTGGCCGTCTCTAAATGTTGAAAACCAGTTAAAAGAAGAAAAAATGAAAATGCAGGATTAACCCATCAAAATAATCTCTTTTTCGCCTAAAATTTTATTAACTTTGGTAAAAAGGTTCACAGTTTCATTCATTCATTAGAATACAGCAGTCATAGCAGTTGATACTATATTTAAATTTCAACAAGATACCTTAAATAAAGAATATAATGCAAGACATCTTTTTCACATAGAGCAAATGAAGAAAAATTGCACAAAACCAATTCAAAAACGTTTATCTTCAAACATAACCAACAGGCAGATGGAAAAGAGTCAATGAACGCAAAGAAAAAACTGACTTGTTGCTTGAAAAAGCTTCATCTATCGAACTTCGAAAAAAAATTTATGGTCTTAAAGCTTTTTGAATTACAAGAATAATTCGTGCTTGGCAGTTTTCTGATAAAACTTGCCCAGCTTGAGAAAACTGAGTGTTAGATAATTTTTTTATTCTGTTGCGAATTCAAAGAAATAAGTTTCCTTTCAAAACTAAAGTCGATCACGTTTTTCGTGAACTGTACACTTTTGCTGTTCCATTATCGAGTTCGCCTTCATTTCAACAAAGGAAATGAACTGAACTTAACACGAAATCGAAAGTCAAAACACGAAAAGAAAACTTGAGCCTGAGCAAACTAATAGCATTTCCTGAAAAAACCAAAAAAATCATCGCGGCCTACTCAAGAGTCTGAACTACGTTCATCGACTCTTAAAAACTTTGGATAAAATTTAGAGACAATTTCACAGATCCAAGGTTCATTGTTTTTGCAAGAAGATCAAAATTTTTAATAAAAAATTGAGCTTTTGAAAAAATAGAAAGAAGCTTAAGTCGATAAGAGATAAGACGAATACCAAAACGCCAGAAAATTAACTTTTGTTATTTTTTTTTGGTAACCAAATAAAATACTTTTTTCTGTAACCAAATAAAATCATATTTCAGATTTTTTAAGATTTGAGACTCAATTCATTTTTTATCTTGTGGCATACAGAAAAATGAAAAAAAAAACAAAAAAAAAACGAAAAATGGTATATAAAAAACTGCTAAAACTTCAGGAATGAATGACGTGCAACCCCACAGGATATCAAGAAGGGCAAAAAGCAGAAAATACAAGGAAAAAATGAACACAAATAAGGCTGTAAAAAGTTAATTCAGCAAAAATCAAAGCACTAAAAATTGAACTGTATGTACAATATTTACAAAGCTGCTAAAACTTCTTTGAAAAAGTTCAGCCATTGAAAGTCAGTTTTTTTCAATTATGGTTCTGCACTTCAGCCCAGTGGGCCATCACGCCCTGTAGTTGAATGATATCTTCCGCCAATGCTCGAATGGTTGCATTTTGCTTCTCAATTTTGGCTTCCAACGTCCTCGTGTAAGCATCTTTCTCGATGATTTTCCCTTTCAGCAATTTTTGTTCATCTGATAAACTTTTCACCGCACTCACGAGCTGATCAAACGTTTTCAAGTTATTAAAATTAATTTCATTCGCTGACGAAGTTGATTGAACTGTTTGCGACGCTTCAGTGATCGTTGATGCAACTTCGTTGTCCTTTTTGTTCAAATTCGATCCACTTCCGTTAGCTTTCTGAATCAATGGATACAGATTACGCAAATTAGCTAACTGACGATCTTGTGAATTGGTTTGAGACTCGTTCATCACCGGAGAATCAGATGACGACCGAGCATTCTGAATTGTGCTTTGGGATTGATTTTGCGACATAGAGCTGTTACTCATGACGGCTGACCTCAAATCTTCAATTGCACTTAAAATAAGTCTCATTTCTCCGCCGTTATTAGGTATAGACATCGAAGAATTACTAGCTTGTGAGAGTAAACTTTGCGGATCGCTCCGATTGGTCAAACCGACAGACGAAGATGGCATGTGTATCATAGAATCCTGATTCTGAAGTTGAGATCCGGCTCCTAAAGAAGAAGCAGCTTTGACGACTCCATTATTTAGCATCCTCAGCTCATCTTCAGTGCTTCTTAGAAGCGCTTTATAATGATCCAGATTCATTTCGGCTTGAAAGTTTGATCCAGAAGATTTCGCGTCTGACTGAAACCTTGACCTCTGGTCGAGATACGATTCGCTTCCTTCAGAGTCGCTGTAATTTGAAGACAATGAATTTGCATGCACTTCGTCTGTATGCACGGGAAGTCTTTGAAAATTAGGTGCAGGCGTTATGCTCGAAATCCCTGAATATTTACCTGGATTTTCACCAAACAGATCCTCGACCAGGGACATAGTTTTATCCGAATCTGCCAATATGTCATCTATATTACGATTTGCAAAAAGTATATCCCTCAAAACTTGAGAATTTGCGAACCTGGCGTCGCCGGCGCTGATTTTTGATTTCAGTTGTTGCCGCGTCAGCTCCGAAGGTTTCGTTACTTGCTTGCGTCGCGACATCTCCTCGCTCGAGGCTCTATATGCCTGCAGGTCTGTAATGCTGTCATCCCAAACAGGTTTTGCATCTTCTACAAGCTTCGTTTTTCTTTTTGGAAGCGTCTTCGTTTTACGTGTTGGTACAAAAGCCATGCTTACTTCATCTGAAAAGCAAATTGGTCATAAAACAAATTGGGAGTGCTTAAAATATTACTTCAATTGCTATTTCAAATATAAATTACTCACAAGAACACTAAAAAAGGTCAATAAAAATCGGGCTTTCAGAAAAATCTAGCTAATTTTCAGTTCATCAATACCATTCACATCAATAGCATACCAAAAAAAAACTTTGAAAATACGTAATTTCTTTTCTACCGAGTAACGTATAATTTGATTGTTCCAGTAGATTAAGAGGACTTCCGAAGTTTAAAGTTCATTTCTACTTTCACTTGCAAAATTTATCTGTAATCAAGACGTGAAAAATCCCAGGCCGCCATAACAAACAAATATCCGGTCACAATCAATTAGTTTTCCCCCCATTGAACTGTCTCCCATGTCAACTTTGAAACTTCTGAGGGCGAAATAGTTCAAACATAATCGGGCGGAAAGAGCAAATTAGCAAAACACAAGGAAAAATTTAAAGCATTGTTGTCTGAAGAATAAGCAGCTACGAGCTTGAAATAAAAAAGTTAAATATTTTTTCATAAGTAAAATAGAAAGGCGGATAAAACTAATCCAATTATTTTTGCAGTCTCATCAGACGAGCCTAACAAGTAGATACCAATTTTGATTCCAAACTAAAGGCCATTAATCCAAAATACTATATTGGTTGTCACAAACAAAGTTTATACATGCAAAAGTAATCAAATTTATCCGATTTCTCCCGAAATCGATATGCGATAAGTGCTGCTTTTACCACACAATCGCCCAGATTTATTTTTGAAAGAATATATTTTTTCTCCTTCTGAAAGACACTATAAAGTGAATAAGCCGGTAAAATACAAGCCGAAACCAACTTAATAAAAAGAAAAATTAAAAAAACAAATTCATAATCCGAATTAGTAAATAGACGAAATAAGAGGTTAATTGTCAATAAAAGCAGGAATTCTTTAAATTAAGAAAAACCATGCTTTGGAAATTAAGCCAACAAAAAGCAAGCAGACGAAGAAAAATTTCGGAAAACTTGCGCTTTCTTACATAACGAAAAAAAAACAAGGTCTGATCGGTACTCATACCCAAATCTTTAAGGTTCAAAGGCAACCGTGTTACTTCTAGATCAGTTGTGATGCAGCCTGCAAATTTTTAAAACAAGTTCAGTTTCTTACAAATAGCAAGTATTCAAGAAAAAACGGAAATTAAGCCAACCAAAATTAGAACTAAGCCCACAAATTCAAAAATTGTTTTTTTTTCTATCAGTTTTTATTCTAAAAACTTTTTTTGATGTAAGTAATATGATCAAAGTTGCCATATCAATTTTGTTATATGATCAGCACTTGTACGTGTTGAAAACATCGTTTCTTACAGACTTCTCAGATTTTTTTTACAGCGAAGAAGTCTAGTTCCCTATTACAAGACACTTGCTCTTGCAGGTGTAAAGAGAACGGTGGCTAATAAACCAGCCGAAACTAATCCAGCCTCAGTACAAACCAGCCCAAAGTACTGGGAATTTACATAATAATCATTTAATAACGGTATCTCTTTAATTATAACCACCCTTATTATTTAATAGTACCACAATCAAACACATGTAAATAAAAACAAGAAAATCCGGTTGCTGTGCAAGTAGTACAGACAATTTCGACTTCAATCATTAAAAAAATCCAAACAAAGAAGTTTTTATTTTCAAATTGGGTCGTTTTTATGCCGTGGTCTGATGACTGTATCTGATCGAAAGCCTTGAACTTACTCTTATTCTATAATAACTCTAATTTAGGTATAGACGAAAACAGTTTTCCTCGAAAACTGTATCTTAAAAAAAAAAAAACGTTTTTGATATAAAAAAAATTTGTCGCAGAAAACTAATTTAATTGTTTTTATTATGAGTAAAATATATATCTTTCAAGACTTAATGTAAGAATTGAACTACTAAATACTTAATATAAGACCTAATTTCTAGCTTAACTCGCTCGAAATTACTCTAACTTCAAACTAGTGTTTCTTGACACTGGGATTTTTTTTTTAAAATTCCGATAATTATTTGTGATACTTTTCGGTGTTTGGAACAATGACAAGACTTTCGACTGGCTTATACGCCTTTTTCTACTTTTTTTCTCTTCCAATCCAGGTGTACCTTCCGGCTGGTCTCATTGTGATGTTGAGCTGGACAATCTTCTGGATCAACGTGGCAGCCACTCCTGCCAGGGCCAGTCTCGGAGTCACAACTGTACTCACCATGCTCACTCTCGCCACCCAGAGCACGGCTCAGAACGAGAAACACGTCAACAGGTACTTACACACCTCACACATTACATACCCAAAACACTTACACATGCCCCCATGTATAACATCACAACTGATCTTAAGTATTTCCCCATAGATCAGCTCGTCGTGCGTTCGAATCCCACTTTGGTCATGGTTGGAGGGGTACCAGAGTCATCCTATTCCTCAAAGTGCGGCGACATGGATAACATCACCCTCCCCCACGGTTGGTCCTGCATTGAGCAGGACCGGGGATTTATAAAAATGTATAACATCACTGATTTTGTTAACTTTCTCCCCCTACTGCAAGGGGGAGAGAGATTCGCTAGGCGGTAAACTTGATTAATAAATGCTTGACTTCTGAACCTAAACTAGGGGTAAGGGGTAAATATTCTTCACTAGGTTCCATGTGTCATTAGGGTGGTAGTTAGCACGATCCGTAATCCGTTATAACCAGAATTTTTAAGTAAAAAATAAAGCCGAACATTAAAATGTGAGGTGCAGTTTTGGAATTTTAATAACTACAACTAACACTTCGTCCTTTACCACCATAACCATGTCCTCTGTATTAAAAATTTTTAATTGAAAAAAAATGTTAAAATATTTTTATCAGTAAGTTCTTTCAATTGGAAACATTATTTCAAATAAGCCAACCCGAGTAAAACTAACTCAATGGGGAAACATAGCAAATACATGAACCCAGTAACTAACATCTATGTTACAAAAGATACGCTTATATAGTGAATACAGATTACGTTTTAATTGTATTTAGAAAACTGACGGCAATAGACTTATACTTGTGGGCTTGCTTTCTCTTTGTCATCTTCGCAATGCTCGAGTTCGCCCTCTCCGACTACACCACCTTCAGAAACAACGCTACGGCCGCAGCAGCTGCTGCATCCGCAAGAAACAACAACATCAACGGGCGCTCCCATCTGCCGACTAGAAATATGATCGACAACACACAATATGTACCGACAAAACAACAGATTCTAACAGCGAAACCGCCCCCACTTAAACAAGATTACGTCAACTCGTAAGTGCACCGGAACAATTTATTTAACGGCTCCTAAAAGGCGTTTAAGGGGACGATGTTACGTAGGTTCTAAGTTAGAATTTTCAGTCAATCAGAATCGATTAATTTAGACATACTGCTAAGCAATTTGAATCCAATTTAAAGAGCCGGGTCTGAGGATCTTAAATTGGTCTATTTAAGGAGGAAATCAGTTATTTTTACCAAAAGGCATCCATTCAATACCTCATGAAGCTTCATCGCCACATGTACTTCAAATTCAACTGTACCGAAAAAGGACGGCAATAAGAAATAAGGCCAAATTTGATAGCGATGACATGCTACCATTTGCCACTTAAACAGCAGTCACTCAGATGACGTAATTCTTTGTTTTCAAAAAACTTTCACAACTTGTAAGTAAATAACTACGCCAGCATATAAATCTAAAAACTTGTATAAACGTTATCAAATTAATATTAGCATATCTTTATTTCCTCCTGTGGAACCTAGGAATGAACATTCAGCCCCATAAAGGACTAATTCAACAATTAAGCATAGAGGATGCAAATCAGTAGCAGATTTAGGGGGAAGGGGGGTGGGGAGGGTTTGCTGTCATGCCCTCCCTCAGTGATTCGACCCACTGCCGGCCTAGAAAAACCTAGATCCAACCCTGATGCAAATTGTATAACAAATTTTTAGCACACAGATTAAAAGAATCTCATTTAATTCAAAACTTTGCATTGGTTAAATAAATTTATGAATTGTAAAAAGTTAAAGGTTTGCACCCATTGGTTATATGAGGCTGGGCAACCCCCAAGGAATTCATGGGAAATATGAGCTTCCAGAGCCTTCTAGTTTTCGAGCAAATTTTTACAGGAAAATTCTCAGTTAAATCCTGAAAACTCTCACTTAATTTTTTCTATTTATTCAGCAAATCCACACTTAAAAATGGAAAACGTGCACATAGTTTGTTGAGTTTTTTAGATCCTGTTATAATTATTCTTAAGTCTCCTCATTCTGTTTTTTCTCATACTGATAAATATTGGCGCCTGGCCTACGATGATGGATCCTAGGATCCCGGGACCAAGTTAACATCCTCCCCCCTAAACACATTTAGGGGGGAGGATGTTAACTTGGTTCTAAGTTGGGAATTTTCAGCCAATCAGAACCGAGCATTTTACATGCAGCTCTTAGCAAATTTAATTTAAATTAAGCGCTGGGGTGGAGGATCTTAACATGGTCTATTTGGGGAGGGGGGTTGGGGTTCGGAGGGGGGAGGATGTTAACTTGATCCGGATCCCGTTGTCTGACCTCTCCAAGTCTCATAATCTGATGCTACATAACTATATTGAACGATCAGGAAAAGTTAATTCTTTCTTTCCCTCTTTCTAAGCATTTAAAAGTTTTGCACCTGGCAATAGAACTGTTCCTTGGGAAATTGAGACGAGGGAAGTAAAACAGAAATTTTCGCTTTACACACAAATATAAAAAAAATCTCGAAATGAGTAAGAATTATCATGTACTACACTTTAGACACTCACTCCAAATTGAGAAAAACGAGATGCTGAATGGCCAACAGAGAAGAGAGACAAACCAATTTCTTATCCACAATCCAAATCAGCATTTGAAATTACATGTACCAGTGCCTCCTCAAAATCGGTAAGTTTAAGGTTGCACTTGCTCGCATGCACTTGTTAAAAAGATCGGCAGACCTAGTTGTTCTATCAATTACACAAAGGTCAAGCTTCACTTTGAAAAAAATGAGGACCGAACAAAACAAAAATTAACCTTGACAATGCAAAATAATAACTGAATGCTGGATTCAAAACATACCTTGTAAAAAAATTGCTAATATAATCACCACCAAAGCTCTCCGTGAGCAACTTTTGCGGCTCTCCGTGTGGAAATGCCAAGTTTTAAGAAGACTAATTTTGTTTGAACTGACGATTTTTGATATAAGACACGATAAAAGTTCATGATATGGAAAAATATGTACAGAGAAGCTAACATGAACTTCAATGAAATAACAGAAATATTCATTGCCAGAAAAAAAAACAAATTCAAAAATTATTAAGGATACCCAGTTGATGTGCAAGCAGCATAAATTGTAACGATCACAAAAATGTATGTTAAAAAACTCAAAAGGAAAAAGTAAAAAAAACTTACTTCATTGGCTGCTTTTAAAAGTTTGTTAAATGTTGCTAAATTCCATCAAAAATTGCAGATTATGCCTTCATTGAAAGCAGAATTGATTTCGCTGATGTACCAAAAAAATGAGACACGTTAAGGGTCAACTTCTCCTAATTATGTTTTTTTTTCACTTGCAGAAGCCGCCTCACACCTCGTGGGCAGACTCAAAAGCGAAAGAGCAGCGGCATCTCCTTCCTGGAATCTCGCATGATGAGTCTGCACAAGGTGAATGAATGGGCCAGGTGGGCATTTCCCCTTTCCTTCTTCGCCTTCAACCTCGTCTATTGGACCATACTACTCTACATGGCATGCACCAGACAGTACCCATAAAAACAGTCTCCTATAAAAAAACATTAAAAAAACAGAAAATAGCCTAAATTATGTTTGTAATTCAAATTAGTTATTCACGTTTCATTTGTAACTAGAGCGAAACCAAATATAAATCTTTTTATTTTCTTTTAATAAAAATCTTTTAAAAAATTATGCGCGTAATTCAAGTTACTTATTCAAGCAAGGTTCATGTTTGTAACATGAGCAAAGCCAAATGTAAAATTTTTATTTTCACATTGAAACAGAAAAGGGAGTTTTGAAAAATAAAGATTTGAAAGAGATTGCTAGCAAAAATGGAAACAATTACAGGCGGCCTTTTCCTCGAGCATTGATTTATTATAGAAAAAAAATTTTCATTGATTTTTCATTAATTTTAGCATTGATTTCTCATTAATTTTAGCACTGATTTTTCATTAATTTAAAATATCCAAGTGCTAGAGATACCAGTTGATGTAGATAGTCAAAGTAGTTTCAATTCAAAATAGTTTCTACCAGATTCAGTTTTACCTGGTAAATTAAATCTAAGTTCTAGTAACCACTGTATTAAGTGCAAATAACACCCTTTTAGGTCAACCAGCTGTCTTCATGGCAATTCAATTTTCGGACAACAATTTCAATTTTTTATTGTTTATGTGTCATATAATTGGCAACTTGCCACATAAACATTAAAATTATGTCAATTATTTCTGAATGACAACCAAATCAAAACAACAACCTCAACTCAGTAGTTTCAATTTCCGATCAAAATATTTATAAACCGAATAGGATTCCAGCATTCCAATCAGTAAAAGAAAGAGTTTTATTTCATGTTTGCCAAATCTTTTTCATGAGAAAACTTCAAGTTCAAAAAAATGTACATTAAGGCACAATTATCACAACTGAAGGTTATAGTGACAATTGAGCTCAACATTCCCATACATGCAGTTCATTGAGCGCACAGAAAGGAAAACAGAAGCTCTATTTACTATTCAAATCAAGTTATATTCAAGTCTCAATTAACCAATGATTGTTCAAACAGCCACCTAAGAATAGTTCTCCTATTCTCAGCTTGTATTTTGGATATAGACGCTTAACCCGTGTTCTACTGATTCACCCAAAATATTTTGTTTACTTGCCACCCTATTTTGTATACCTGTGGTAAAAACTAGATGGGTTAAAGATAAAAGCCAGTTTACGATGGATTTGATGGATTCAAGTCGGTATAACTTCCGCAGTCGATAGTAATCACTTACCATAGTTCACATAAAGTTCATATGGCCCCTGTATTAAAATCCTTCTAGTGAACCGAACAATTGCCATCCTTAAATCAGCATTGAAACGAAACTTGCAATTAGCATTGCCGAAACGGAGACAAAACAAGGTAGAATGCTGATAAAATACTTTTACAGAGGCGAAGCCACAAAAATAGCATTGCATGTTAGCAGACAGGAAAGGAAAAGAAGCAACTAAGCTCAAAGAAAAAATTTTGAAGAAACCACAACCAAAAAAACTTCAAAATGTTGTCTGGAAGGATGTTATTTTTGCGGAAAACACGTCCAGAAAACAAATTTTGAGTGAAAAAAAAAATACTTTGAACTATAAACTCTATTCTGAGATTACTAACGTTTTGTGCCATCCAGAGGAAAGCATACAAACTATGGTTCCCTCGAACGATTATATTAGTAAGCCGAAATCATTGAGGCCGAAATGTTTTTTTTTGAGTAAGCATAATAAAAGATTCGAAGCCAAGGTTAGTAGAATTACAAATTGCAGGTTTAAATGAAGAGATAAAATGCATTTTAAATCAAAACTGCATACAGCAAAAAACTCTAAGATGTGGCAACTAAGCCAACAAAACGTAAGCAGACAAATAATAAGCCGACAATTTTATTATGGAAGATTTCCAACTAGAAAAAAAAACAGGTCTTGGTCAGATTCGAACCCAGGAACTTTGCGTTCCACGTGTATTTTTTTGCCTCCATGCTAAGCGTGCCAGAGATGATTGGAAATTTGAACTCATTATCAGCCAATGTACCAAGTGATTCTGATAAACAAGTTGTTAACCAGAAAAAAGTGGATATTCCGATTTGATAACGCTTGCTGATTGCAAGCGTAACCATTCAAACGATGCAAAACGAGGTGACTAAACGCCGAATACGAGGCAAGAAAACACCTTAAGCGTCAAATAAACTTTCAATGAAAAAAAAAACAAAAAAAGATATTACAAAAAAAGAGAGCCTACAAATAAGTGAAAAAAAATATATGTCGAATATAACAAAAATTTAAAAAACAAACATGCTCATCAACAAATATGTCTTTTTGCAGACAGGTAGGCAGAGAGCCCATTTGTCAAAGAAGTCCAATCCAGGTAACAAATTTACAGCAAATAATTCTAGGACCACGTTGCAATACCGTGGCCGATCGCAACGGTAAAAACTACCATAAACAATTTCAAAAATTAACTATTTTTGCGCCCTCGAATCGAAACTCGCTTCGCACAAAACAGTTCAAACAAAAGATAACTTACACTAACTACCAACTGGAACTTGTTTTTAGGCTTAAGCGAGCTTTTAAAACGAAATGCCAAAATGAAACATGAGCAAATTTCTAAGCCTTTCAGACAATTTTTCCAACTGAGCTAGCCATGTGTTTTGAAAGTAAATTGATTAAAATTTTGCGTAAATTGAAAAAAAACCTGTTCAGCCCGTCATCGAGTAAGTTGAAACACAGAAAGCAATAAATTCTAGCGCGCACTTGGACCACAAATTGTTTTGAAACTTTTTAATTTAAATAAAAGTTTAACTTCAAATCATAAAGCAGAAATGATTGTTTTCAGATAAAAAACTTGAAAAAGCCACTTCTTCTTAACACAAATTCACAAATCATGTCCTCAGTCAAACGGCAGGCCGATTACAAGAACCTATTGCACCCTATTGCATCTTTTGACGAGTCATCGTTGTTTTTTTTAAGTTTATGGAAGTTTGAGACGGTGGCTTTTTTGGTCTTCACAATTCAGATAAACGGAACAGACAACTATATGGCTCCTGAGCATGCATCCTGACCGTATGGGGATGAGTTAGAAAAGAAAAAAATTATTTCTCAAACTAATCGTTCATGAGGTTCTGTAGCATCAGATTACGAGACTTGGTAAGGACAGACAACGGGATCCTAGGAACCACCAAGCGTCTGCCCTAAAATTTCATAAAAAAATTTAAACGTGGACCGAGATTTTTACACACACGCAAATTGCACGTCGAACACACAAGCAAAAATATGACCGATAACGCTCCTGGGAAAAACTGAATGAGTGAAGCTTTGAGTCTACAAAATTTCTTAAGTGACGCACGCCAATTATGAATCTAAATAATGGCTAAGTGTCACAAGTTACTTCTGACGCATTAGCAGTACCAATCAAAATTAAAACATAGCCAACTAACAGTTGGAAAAGAACAATGAACGCAAGAAAACTGAAAAAAAAACTGACTGGATCAATACGTAAAAAAATCTGAAAAAAAAAAAATTGACTGGATCAATACGTAAAACTTTTATTTTGCTAGGAAATCTGATAATTAATTTCCGTTTTCGAAATCAGATGTTGATCAACTTTTTCTTGAATTCTATACTTTTGCCGTTCGATAGTGGAGTTTGCCTTCTTTTTAACAATGGAAATGCACTGAACTTAAAAAGAAATCACAACTTTTTCCTGAAAAAAAAACAAAAAAAAATCAGCAAGACCTATGAGCGTGAACAAATTTTAAGACTTGTTCCTGGAAAAAAAAATCAGCAAGACCTATATAAGATTACTCACTACACTCATTATTCTTAAAAAAAAATTTAGCAACTAACATGCCTCAATTTATAAAGCGGACGCGTTTTAACTAGCATACGCAAAAAGTTCATTAAAAACATCCGAACATGCCCAAGTTCGAACCCTCTTATTTTGTTGCAGGTCTCTTTCCCTACCTCTACGCTTCAGATCCATGATACCTTGAAGCAAAAGTGCTATTTGTATTATAGTAGTCTGTATTAAAATTCTTAGCATTGGCTGTACTAAATAGCTGATTATTGGTTAAAGTGAACACTTTCAAATGAACATATTTTGTCGCAACAATATTTGCGACTTAGGTTGAAAAAAACAGTGTTCATACCATCACACAAGCTTTGCTTGTGTAATGACAGTCATGCTGTCAAAACAAGCTATGAGCAAAAACCTGAAATTCAAGATTAAGGAACTGCAGACAAGGAAACTATGTTAAGATGGAAGCGAAGAAGATTGTTCAACACTTTAACTCAATTAGATTCACTAACACCAACAACATGTATCCCAAACATATCGGACACGTTAAATTGACAATAATTTTCAAGATTTTTACCCACGTCGAAAGAGAAAATCACCAAGAGCAACCGATACTGATCAAGTCATTTTCATAAAATCTGATAAGGAAACTGCAAAAAAAAACCAAAACAGTTTTGGCGGAGCTGCCATATTAAGATACTGCCAGTTTTTTTAAATACAATTTTTTGAATGAATTTGAACAATTCGTTCAAAAAGGACACAATGATTTTTTTTAAATTTCAGAACAAATTTACAAAACTCGAAAATTAGGCACTCATAAACAGTCAGCAAACAATTTCTTCAGACAATATTTTTAGACAATAGTTTCAAAATATCTCTTGCATTACAAAACTTAGATAAGACACAAAAAAACGCACCCTGAAACAAATTGCCATATTGAAAAATATGGAGTACATTAATGCGGTAGTAGTCTAGTACTTGGCCCCTTGGTACATAATGGTTTAATTTCAATTACAAACCACCTTGTTTTCCAAGTCCAAAATTTTAGATACATTGATTACTAACTTATTTGCTATACACCATCAATTGCATGTGAGCTTCTCCGATTTTACTTAAGCCGACAATTTTATTATGGAAGATTTCCAACTAGAAAAAAAAACAGGTCTTGGTCAGATTCGAACCCAGGACCTTTGCGTTCCACGTGTATTTTTTTGCCTCCATGCTAAGCGTTCCAGAGATGATTGGAAATTTGAACTCATTATCAGCCAATGTACCAAGTGATTCTGATAAACAAGTTGTTAACCAGAAAAAAGTGGATATTCCGATTTGATAACGCTTGCTGATTGCAAGCGTAACCATTCAAACGATGCAAAACGAGGTGACTAAACGCCGAATACGAGGCAAGAAAACACCTTAAGCGTCAAATAAACTTTCAATGAAAAAAAAACAAAAAAAGATATTACAAAAAAGAGAGCCTACAAATAAGTGAAAAAAAATATATGTCGAATATAACAAAAATTTAAAAAACAAACATGCTCATCAACAAATATGTCTTTTTGCAGACAGGTAGGCAGAGAGCCCATTTGTCAAAGAAGTCCAATCCAGGTAACAAATTTACAGCAAATAATTCTAGGACCACGTTGCAATACCGTGGCCGATCGCAACGGTAAAAACTACCATAAACAATTTCAAAAATTAACTATTTTTGCGCCCTCGAATCGAAACTCGCTTCGCACAAAACAGTTCAAACAAAAGATAACTTACACTAACTACCAACTGGAACTTGTTTTTAGGCTTAAGCGAGCTTTTAAAACGAAATGCCAAAATGAAACATGAGCAAATTTCTAAGCCTTTCAGACAATTTTTCCCACTGAGCTAGCCATGTGTTTTGAAAGTAAATTGATTAAAATTTTGCGTAAATTGAAAAAAAAACCTGTTCAGACCGTCATCGAGAAAGTTGAAACACAGAAAGCAATAAATTCTAGCGCGCACTTGCACCACAAATTGTTTTGAAACTTTTTAATTTAAATAAAAGTTTAACTTCAAATCATTAACCAGAAGTGATTGTTTTCAGATAAAAAAAAGTCGAAAAAACCACTTCTTCTTAACAGAAATTCACAAATCATGTATTCAGTCAAATGGCAGGCCGATTACAAGAACCTATTGCATCTTTTGACGAGTCATCGTTGTTTTTTGTAAGTTTATGGAAGTTTGAAGTGGAAAAGACTGTGGCTTTTTTGGTCTTCACAATTCAGATAAATGGAACAGACAACTATATGGCTCCTGAGCATGCATCCTGACCGTAAGGGGATGAGTTAGAAAAGAAAAAAAATATTTCTCAAACTAATCGTTCATGAGGTTCTGTAGCATCAGATTACGAGACTTGGTAAGGACAGACAACGGGATCCTAGGAACCACCAAGCGTCTGCCCTAAAATTTCATAAAAAAATTTAAACGTGGACCGAGATTTTCACACACACAGGCAAATTGCACGTCGAACACACAAGCAAAAATATGACCGATAACGCTTCTGGGAAAAACTGAATGAGTGAAGCTTTGAGTCTACAAAATTTCTAAAGTGACGCACGCCAATTATGAATCTAAATAATTGCTAAGTGTCGCAAGTTACTTCTGACGTATTAGCAGTACCAATCAATATTAAAACATAGCCAACTAACAGTTGGAAAAAAACAATGAACGCAAGAAAACTGAAAAAAAACTGACTGGATCAATACGTAAAAAAATCTTTTAAAAAAATTGACTGGATCAATACGTAAAACTTTTATTTTGCTAGGACATCTGATAATTAATTTCCGTTGTCGAAATCAGAAGTTGATCATATTTTTCTTGAATTCTATACTTTTGCCGTTCGATAGTGGAGTTTGCCTTCTTTTTAACAATGGAAATGCACTGAACTTAAAAAGAAATCACAACTTTTTCCTGAAAAAAAAAACAAAAAAAAAAATCAGCAAGACCTATGAGCGTGAACAAATTTTAAGACTTGTTCGTGGAAAAAAAAATCAGCAAGACCTATATAAGAGTACTCACTACACTCATTAGTCTTAAAAAAAAATTTAGCAACTAACATGCCTCAATTTATAAAGCGGACGCGTTTTAACTAGCATACGCAAAAAGTTCATTAAAAACATCCGAACATGCCCAAGTTCGAACCCTCTTATTTTGTTGCAGGTCTCTTTCCCTACCTCTACGCTTCAGATCCATGATACCTTGAAGCAAAAGTGCTATTTGTATTATAATAGTCTGTATTGAAATTCTTAGCATTGGCTGTACTAAATAGCTGGTTATTGGTTAAAATGAACACTTTCAAATGAACATATTTTGTCGCAACAATATTTGCGACTTAGGTTGGAAAAAACAGTGTTCATACCATCACACAAGCTTTGCTTGTGTAATGACAATCATGCTGTCAAAACAAGCTATGAGCAAAAACCTGAAATTCAAGATTAAGGAACTGCAGACAAGTAAACTATCTTAAGATGGAAGCGAAGAAGATTGTTCAACACTTTAACTCAATTAGATTCACTAACACCAACAACATGTATCCCAAACATATCGGACACGTTAAATTGGCAATAATTTTCAAGATTTTTACCTACGTCGAAAGAGAAAATCACCAAGAGCAACCGATACGGATCAAGTCATTTTCATAAAATCTGAATAGAAAACTGCAAAAAAAAACCAAAACAGTTTTGGCGAAGCTGCCATATTAAGATACTGCCAGTTTTTTTAAATACAATTTTTTGAATGAATTTGAACAATTCGTTCAAAAAGGACACAATGATTTTTTTAAATTTAAGAACAAATTTACAAAACTCGAAAATTAGGCACTCATAAACAGTCAGCAAACAATTTCTTCAGACAATATTTTTAGACAATAGTTTCAAAATATCTCTTGCATTACAAAACTTAGATAAGAAACAAAAAAAATAAACGCACCCTAAAACAAATTGCCATACTGAAAAATATGGAGTACATTAATGCGGTAGTAGTCTAGTACTTGGCCCCTTAATTTCAGTACATAATGGTTTAATTTCAATTACAAACCACCTTGTTTTCCAAGTCCAAAATTTTAGATACATTGATTACTAACTTATTTGCTATTCACCATCAATTGCATGTGAGCTTCTCCGATTTTACTTAAGTAAAAACTGTCTATCCATTTTCTACGCTGGGTCCAACTCTCAGTACCTCAGCTGGAATACATACATGAGTAGTGGCGTGCGCAGAAATTTTTAGGGGGGGGGGTTTCGAAAAAATTTGCCGCCCTTTTTTAGGTCGAACAATTTCATTTTCCGAGCTCACCAAAAATACTATTCGGACCCTCTCAAATTATTCATATTGGCACCAAAGACGCCTTTAGAAAAGTTTTGAGATTGGTTAGCAAAAAACGGATGCCGTAAGGCTATACCAAATGGGGACCCTTTGGAAAAATTTGGCAACCAGAATTAAAGGGGGGGGGGGGCGGAGGCTCGGCACGCTTCTGTACATGAGTATTTCGACTTTGATTTAAAAAAAAGATATGAAACACCCAGTGGTTCATGATCTATGTAACCATTGTAATTTCAAAAGTGCGATTTTCAACTGTTTCTAAAAAATTGATAACAAAACAATTAACCACGCAACACTAATATCATGTCTAATGACCACGTTTTAATAGTTCAGGTTCTTAGTAGCCCTTACATTTTCAATATGTTGTTTTTTTAGACAACTTCTTTTTAATCCAGCGATCGACATAGCACCATTTCAATTCAGATTCTTTATCGCCTCCGCTTTAAATGAAGCGACATAAATTCAGACTGATGCAAAAAGGTCTGAGCAAGAACAAATGATTAACTTCGGAACTTTAAATCAGCAAATTGATAGATACTTTACAAAAAATATGTTTTGAGAAAACAAATGATCTGATTAGTCTAAATTCATTTCTCAATTTTCAATTTAGTTGTCAAATTAAATCTTTTATTGTATTTTCACATTCGGTGACCGCTTCCAATAACTGAAATCAAGACAATACCCGTGTATCAATCCTTTTTCTCAATTACTTCATGCTCCTCCAAGTGTTCTTTAATTAAAGGTATAAAGGGTATCCAAATGGCGACATTAGTCAGTGCAAAAGTAGCAATCATAACATATACCACCCACTTCACCTCTTCGTATAGTCCCACAATGGCAATGTGCATTACCAGAGCGGCCATCATTATACAAATATAATGGCAAGCAGCCTGACTAACAAGTAAAGCAAGAGCTACGGTGCCCTTGAAGAACAGACCGATTCTCAACCCCATCGAGACAATCAGACCAGTTCCAAAAAGGTGTGATGCCAGCAGTCCGAAGCGGGACGCCTTGAGCAGCATGTAGTCTGAGGGAATCCTGCCGTAGTAATCGGTCGCATTTTTCTCATCATCGTCGTCGAAGTCAATGTAGCCATACTCTTCTTCGGGTGGCACGCCCAGAATTTCAATGTCAATTATAACCTAAAACACAAATTCCATCAACATAATAGTGGTTCAATGTGGCGCAAGTGGTAGTGCAAATTGCTAGAAATCATATGGATAACGGTTCGAAACTCGCACGTCCACTATAATTTCAAAAGATCTTCCCAGTCAATCATAGCTTCGCTAAGCATAAATAATGAATTTTCGGTTTAGGTATTCTTTTAGCCCCCGTTCCTACTGAATGAAGGATCCACCGTGGGGGAGGGGGGATGTCTTCCATTTCACTGCAGCAGGTCCCAGCTAGAGAATGATGATGACACTGGGACTCCTCGTTTTTAGGCCTCCGACTGCTTAACTAGCTCAAGTAACAAAAATTAAACTCCCTTACTCACCCCCTTCAATAAACCAAGCAACGATCTGCCATGTTATAGTTTAACTTCGGATAAAATTGGTCAGCGTTTTGAGTGAAATACTCAAATCTGATTGGTTCAACCTCCAGATTAGAATCAAATTGACTTCCTACTTGAGCGGAGGACGACGTTAATTTCAAAATACGCTACAGCTCCTGGTATCGAAATGAAAGATATTTTTTGAGTCTAGAAGTTTGGAACCCCTCAGTACCAGTGTTCTACAGACAACATGACCGATCAGTTCCGCTTTGCCATAAGTGGTATTCGTGAAAGTACTTTGTTCGCATTTAATACCAGAATCTGGTTTATTAATAATCATTAATTCAGAAAATCTGACCTGGTTCATGATGAAAATGCATCCCAGCGTATTGCAGACATTCCAGAGTCCTCCTTGTTGGGATCCGTCTCCATTTTGCCCACACATGTGGTAGTGACCACAGAAAGACATGGCCAAAATCACTATGTACACACATATGGCCGCTATCAGGAAGTTCTTTTGTGGGTTTGAGATCTGTTTGCAGTCCGATTTCTTCACAATTGACTTCTTCGGCATTGTCACCAGAGGGCAAAATTAACCGTATATCGGAGTAACAATTGAACAAATTTCTAAACGCCAGTTATAACGAAGCAAAATTTTTTGAAACAATGATCGAACTGATTAGAAAAATTGAGCTGTCATATATGTGCTAAGTTCTCAGATAAATCTCAAAATTTAGAGTTTATCTCTGCTATACAAAAGAGAATAAAATGAAACGCTGTAATGCAATTGCCTTTATCAGTCAGTATAAAAACTGCGAAACACTGATTTGGAACTTGCTCTAATATAAAATGTTAGACTGAAATATTTACTGCAATCAAAAATCAGAAGTCAAAATCGTAGTTGTACACGTAAAATTTACACCACAGATTCAACATCAAAAAAACATCCGATGTATAGGAATTCATGTCTGTATGTAACTAATTAAAACTAATTTTGGTTAATAACAAAAAAAGTTTCTGGTCTAACGAGGAGTTTGAGCTTTCCGCTTGGCCAAACTTCCATTTACTTCCACCATTGACGAAGCAGTTGCCGGACCATTACTCTCTTTTTCACCCGCAGATTGCGTCCCAGCTGTAGCCTCTTTCAACACGTGAAATAAGGCCGTAGGCGATACGTTTAGTGGTGAGGATAAAAGTGAGTGGATTACGTTTAGAAGTTCCCGGGACATTGGAACCCCAGCAAGTTCGCACAGCTCCTGTAAGTCCTCGCGATCTTTGTCGTTATGCGATAGAGACGTGGGAAAAGATCCCACCGCTGGTTCCACTCTGGCAGTAGAGGCTGTGGCAGGGGTGGAGCTCCGCGATGTGCCACTCATTTTGGTAAATCTGAAATTTGGTATTGGTCAGGGGCAGATCTAGGATTTTTTCGAGGTTTGGGGGCGAATTTTCAAGAAATTTTGACCTTTTTTCTAGGTCGACCAAATTTATTTTCCGAGCTCTCCCAAAGCATTAAAAAGACTCTGTTTTAGTCAAATTTTGGTGATATATCACAATAGGTGGCATAACAGAAAATAATGACTTAGAAATTGGTCGGCTGACCTTGCAAATGTTCTAGCCGTTTTTTTCTCGCGTGTTTCAATACAACATAGAAAAGATCATTCAATAAAAAATTTTATTGGAACATTTACAAATCTAACCCCTCAAACTGAATCAAGCCCCAAATAAATCTAAAATCTCGGCAATTTCCGAAGCTGTTTCCCACGCTGATTTACTATCCCAGACATTTAATAAAAAAGTGATTATTTCTTGATTTTTTTTTGTTACCAAATTGAGTTTTTGTAATTACGATGGAAACTGACAGTGGAACTCAGCTTCAGGTGGTTTCAACTAAAGAGGTATTCAAGAGTACAAATACCGGAGACAAAAAAGTGAAAAATGTGGAATCGGAACTGTTATTTTTGCGGGAAAAAATTGGAAAAACAAGAATGTGAAATAACGGGTCCTTAATGTAAGCAGTTAAGAGATAACAGGCTGCCAGTAAACGAAAAGTATACTAACAAGGATTGTGTACTTGTATAGAACCCAACATTCGATCCAAGGACAGTAACTGACGTTACGGAATGCGACAATTGAGTTTTTCAGTACAAGTCTGAAAATAAAAATTTCTAGTGGGGAAATTAAAGCTTGTCACATGTATATGGGAAATTACGGAAACAATATGCCCACTACCGTTTGTAAACTTGTATGCTTCGACGATAAGCACGCTATACACAAGACCTGGAGAAATCTGAAATAACAGAAAAACAATTTAAACAAGCGTAACATATACATTACGGAACGCCTTCCTGAACAAGAGGTGGTAATTGGGAAAGTGGCCAATGATATGAACCTGATAACTACCACTGACAATTGCATAGTATCAGTGCTTGTCCATGATGAAAAACGTTGATGCGAAACAAAGTTGATGCGAGTTGACGCAGTTGATGAATTACAAACGATTAACGCTGTTAAACGAAAAAAGACGAGTCTACACCGACTCTCGTCAAGACAACAATGAGGGGGAATCCCCTGCAAAGAAAAAAACCGTCTCATTGACTGGATTTTGAACGGATAACTTGTGCTGTTTGTTAAACTTTGACAGAAAAACACAAAATAATATGAGTTAAAATGTAAAGCATGAATAGCTTCTAACCCAAACTGGGTAGTAATGTTTGTGCTAAAATCTGTCAAATTACTCTCTGTTATTACTCTAATTATGGACCCAAAAAAGTAAAGGAAAAGGGTGACAAAATTTTTTTTTGTTTTGTTTTGTCTTTTAATTTTTTTTTTCTCAAATCATTTTTTTTGCGTTTCGTTTTCAATTTTTCAACTTATGAACTCTGACCGAACAAAAAATGATTATTCTCCAACAAGTGCATAGATTAGTTTGTGGGATTTCCGCCCTGCTGGTGTAAGACATAAAGAAGAAAAACAGTCTTAGCAGTGTTTTTTAAAGACCATAAATTAAATGAGTTGCTGCGATTTCCGCGCTGCTTTGTGGTCATATAAGATGAGTTATATACTTTTTCCTTTTAAAATGCAATTAGAATGAAGTCTAAAGACATTTCTGCTTGATTAGTTCCCAGAGCTTGCGTGATTTCCCGCTGCTTTGCGATTTTTAAATGCAAATAAATAACGGAAAAAAATTCAGGAAAATGGAAATTGAAAAGGAAAAGAAGGAGGTGAAGTTTCGGAGGGGGATGAAAGAATCTTATACGGACATTAAAATTAAAAGTTAGCAATAGTCGTATTAATGCAAAGAATAAGAAAATTTCCGACAAGAGATAAAAACCACCTAGAGTTAGTGCGATTTCCGCACTGCCCTTGGTGATTTCTGGCAACTCATAGTGGCGATTTCCGCTGCTTTTAAAATAACATGTTTTTTTTTGTAGTTAGGAAGCATGAATTTAAAACAGCCAGATCTTCACAAAAAAATAATTAAATTTCAACAAGTTAAGAAACCGCATGAGAATTATATGTTACACAGAAATGGTTAACAGAGACAAGGAGGAAACAGATTCCAAAACTTTTTCATTGTTTTCACAAATTATCAGATCATTGTCCCGAAACTTGCAAGAATTTGAATTAGAAGGAGAGAAATTGGCCCAACGTCCACATATCATCTGTTTAACTGAAACCTGGCAGAAAATAACTCTGACAATGACATCTTCGAAAATCAAGGATACGAACCTCTCTTTAGTTGCGCTAGAGTTAAACGAGGAAGAGGTATTCGCATCTATGTTTACATCGGGTCATTACATAGGATAATAAAGCAAAAAAAGATAACAATATTCAAATCTTGCCAGTTCTCATAAAAAATCAAATAAATCAGAAAATAGTAGCCTGTGTTTACATTCCACCAAATTCTCTGAACAACGATACCTTGGAAGCCTGCAAAACTATTTGGATGGATAAACGCTACCGTCCGAAACTGAACACATAGTTTGTGGTGGTTTCAACGTAAATGATCTGTTAAATTTGACAAAGCGAAAAAAATTAGTGTATTATGATAGGAAATGGCGTGTTACAAAACAAAAAGGGCTGCTTCCCAATACGAGTGACAGATCGTTGTAGCACAATGATTGACTCATTTTTCTGTACATCCAGTTTCTCAAAAAAATCTATGAAAAATTCAGTGTCTGATCATTCGTGTTCAATTTTTCTCAAATTTTCTGAAAAAGGATGTTTTTACTAAAATACAAAAAAGGGAAATAAGTGAGAAATTAGGTTTTTAATTGCAGCATAAGATTGGCGAATTAATGCATTAATGGAATCCAGATTATCCGCAAACGTCTTCTCGGATTTTAGAAAACATAAATTTGATCCTTATGAAGGCAGTTGATACTTTTTCCTAAAGCAATTACTAGCACAAACAGAAAGGAATCCATGCATTGTCGAAGAAGTAAAAAAAATGTAGCAGCAAAAAAGAGACGGTTACGAGAAGACATTTTGAATGTTACAACGGATGCCTGGAACAGATATATTTCTCAAAATAAAAATGTCAAAAACAAAATCATTCGCAAAAAACGAAAATACTATCAAAATAAATTAACGCTTGAGTCTAGATATAGAACCAAGATTTTTCTCACAATTTTTAAAAAATTGAGAGGCTAAGGAAAAAATCCGAGTCACTTAATCTATCTAAGGAGGACGCTGAGCTATTTAGCGAATACTTCCCGAATATAGGCGCCAGATTTGCACAGAGCAAACCAACTTGCACGGAAAATAATGTTAATCTTTCAGCAGCAATTGTTCTTTTTTGAAACAAATTGATTTAATTGAAGTCATTGAAGTCCACAACAGTCTAAACATTAGATATAGCACAGATTGCTATGATATCAACATAGTTCTCGTCAAACATTTTAAAACTTCACTAGCAGGCCCTCTGACTGAAGTTTTTAATGACAGCCTAACCCCAGGAGTCTACCCAATTAGTTTAAAAATTCAGAAGTTTTACCAAATTCCAAGGAAGGAAAAATCGATGACCCCTCACACTATAGACCAATTTCGCTTCTTCCAGTGCTGCGTTTAATTTTTCGAGCGTTTAATTTTCAGTCGAACCCAATCATATGTTGACAAATTAACTATCTTCCGAAACACTCAGTTTGACTTCAGATCAAAAAAGAGCACTGTTGACGCCATCTTTAAATTGTACGAAGAAGTTTCAACATCACTATCGAACAAAAAACTAACTGTTCAGAAAACTTTTTTAGACCTCACAAAGGCTTTTGACACGGTTTATCACTCTATCCGCTTATAAAATTGGAACTAATGGGACTCAGAGGGCCTGTCTTAACACTCTTGGACTCTTACCTTGACACTTGCTATCAGTACATCGAAACAAACTCTTTTAAGACCGAATTTGAACTGGTAACTTTTGGAGTACCTCAAGGATCTATCTTTGGCCCACTTTTACACATACTTAATCTAAACGATCTTCGAATAGTCACGAAAAACACAGGAGTACTTTTGTATCCTGATGACACTGTTCTGAAATCCACAAACAACAAAGACTATATTACTCTCGCACATCAATCGGCTTTGCATGAAGTAAATTAGTGGTTGAAAAAGAACAAATTGACACGAAATGTCAAAAAAACCCAGACCATGGGCCACTGTCGGCCCCAAAAAGCTGAAAAATAAGAACTGTCAAATAATTTTTGAATGACACCCAAATAGAGGATTTAGAATGTTTTAAATATCATGCAATTCACCTCGACTGTAAACTGAATTTTCATCAGCATATTGATAAGGTAAAAATAAAATTTTGCAGTTCTGTGGAGTGTTTTTTCAATTGAGAAAGTTTCTGACAGGACAGCAATTAATATTTGCGTATAAAAGTTTAAGCAACCAATCATCCAATATGGTGTTTTAATTTATGCAAACACCGACAAAACTAAACTGTTAGAACTGGAAATGAAAATCAAAATGCTAATTAGAATTATTTTTTATTAGCGCAGGACTGATTCAATCACTGAACTAATGCATGAAAAAATATATATACCGCAAAAAAATGTTTACGTCCGAAATTGTGAAATTAAAGTTAAAATTATTCGAAAAGAGTGCCAAAAAGATCCATTGAAATATGCCATTACTAAACAAGAGTTCAACGTGATATTTTCAAAGAGGAAATCAAATCAAAAGTTAGCTATAAGTAGAAACAAACTCAACAGAGGGAGGGTCGATTACACCTAAAATTAGAAAATTTTTTTAATATTGATGTAAATTTTTTCCCGCCTGGGTCAATTTCTTGAAAGTGGTTTCTCGGTTTCAATTGAATAGTCTTAATCATAAAGTTTTGGATAATTACATTCTAGGAAGTACAACTATATTGGGCATGCTT